CCATTAGAATGAGTGACAATACCAAGTGCTGACTAGGATTTGAAATAACCAGAACTCTCATACATTGCTGGTGAGAGTGTAAAATGGTATAATCACTTTGGAAAATAGATTGGCAGTTTCTTATAAGGTTAAAGACATATGCTTATCACATGATCTAGTAATTCCACTCCTAAAAGGAATGCAAATAAATGTCCATAAGAAGACTTCTACGCTGATGTTCATAACAGCTTTATTCATCATAGCCCCAAACTGAAAACAACCCAAATTCTGTAAACATGTGGATGGAAAAACAAACGATGGCATATTCATACGATGAAATCCTACTCAGCAACACAAAGGCATGTATTCCTGAATGATAATATGGATGAATCTCAAAAACATTCATTTAAGTGACAGAAGCCAGACACGAAAGAGTACAAACTGCATGAATCCATTTACAAGAAAATCTAAAACAGGCAAAGCCATTCTGTAATAACAGAACATGGATCAGTGGTTGCCTGAGTTAGGGGGGCACTGAAGGGGGCGGGCACTGACTACAAAGAGGCAAGAGAGAAGAATTTTGGAGTAATGAGAATTTTCTGTAACTTGATTGTGGGGGAGGTCACACAAATGTACCTATTTGTTTTTTGGGGTTTTTTTTAAAGACATTTATTTTAAAGATTTTATTTATTTGACAGAGAGAGAGAGAGCACAAGCAGGGGGAGCGGCAGGCAGAGGGAGAAGCAGGCTCCCCACTGAGCAGGACCCTGGGATCACCACCGGAGCCAAAAGCAGCCTCTTAACCAACTGAGCCACCCAGGCGCCCCCAAATGTACCTATTTGTAAAAACAAACAAACAAACAAAAACCAGGAATATGGACACCTAATATGGGTGCCTTTTATTGTGTGTAAAGTTGAATTTTGTTTTATTTTTTTATAAAGTTGGATTTTAAAAGAGCAACTGCAGAAGAGAAAACCTGATTGTCAGCTGATTGGTCAATGGTTGTATGAAAATAAATGCTTTAAAATTTTAACTACACCGAGATACCATTTTATACTCACGTATGAAGAGTCTGACAATATCAAGAATTGGTGAAGGTGGAGGCCAATGTGGGAGTGCAAAGTATCCACTTTTGGAAAGTTATTTGCTATTATCTAGGAAGTTGGGGAAATGTGCCTACCCTATGACCCAGCAATTGTGCTTCAATCTACATACCCCAAAGGAACTTTTTTGCACACACACAAGAATATTTGGAGTGGCTTTGTTTGCAATAACGAAAACTGTAGGTATTGTAAACATCCAACATAAAGAGAACAGATGTGTAAAGAGTGATGTAATTGTGCACTGGGATGCTACACAGAAGTGAATCTGGTTGCATTAGTACAATTACTAGCTGCAAACATACAACGTGAATGTCACCAATATTATGCAATAAAAAGAGTAAGTCATAGAAGATACATACATATATTCTATTTCTATAAAGCTCAAAATCACACAAAACTAAATAACATATAAATGTATGAAGCAAAACTTTAAAAAAAAAAAGTGAAACAAGACAAACTCTAAACTCAGAATGCTGGTTTCCTCTGAGAGTGTGGGAAGGAGATGGAATCAGAAGGGGCAAAAAGTGAGCTTTAAAATTATCGATGATGTGATTTTTCTAAAAGTGGTTGAGCATATGAATGTTCAATTTATTAATAATCTCCAAACCACACATATACTTTATATGTACTCTTTTGTATGCAGAGACATTTCATACTAAAAATTTGAAAAGGCAAATATTGTCACATTGGGCTAAACACGATAAGCCAACCATGTGCCTCATACAAAGGACACACTAAAAACAAAATAACATTGGTTAAAAATAAAGCGATGGGCAAAGTTATACCAGCAAAAACAAACAAAAAAAGACACAAGTAGCAATGTTAATGTAAGACAAATTAGAACTCAAGGCAAAAAACATGAGTGCTATTTTATACATAGATACATGTAATCCGTGACGGAATATTATCAGCTACAAAGTGTAATGAGATAAATAGCATAGCCTCAAAATATACCAAGCAAATAACAATAGAAATAATCAAGGAAAGTGAAGCATAATTTTTTTATTTTTAAATGTCCTACAGTAATATGAAACCGTGTGGGGGTATAGTTCTATGAATTTTGACAAATACCTGAAGTCATGTAACCATCACGATCAAGATACAGAACAGTTCTATCACCCTCAAAAATGCACTCATGCCGCACCTTTGTAGTCAAACGCTCCTGCACCTCCATTTCCTGGAAAATCTTTCATCTGTTTTTGGTTCCTATAGTTTTCTCTTTTCTAGAATATCATATAAATGGAATCATACCATCTTTTGAGTCTGGTTTCTTTCACTCAGCATAATGCCTCTGAGATTCTTCCAAGTGTTGCATATATCAGTAGTTCATTCTATTTTATTGCCAAGTATCATTCAATGGTATGGATGTACCACAGCTGCTTAAGATCCACCCATTGAAGGGCTTTTAGGTAGTTCCACTTTGGAAGCATTATGAATAATATTATAAACATTTGTGTACAGGATTTTGTGTGAACATAAAACTTCATTTCTCTTGGGTAAGTTAACTTTATAAGAAACTGTCTAAATTCTTTTCCAAAATGTATATACTATTTTGCTTTCCCAAATAGTAATGGAGCAAAGTTCTTGTTGCTTTGCATCCTCCCCAGTATTTCATACTTGAAGCATAATCTTAACACATCACAGTCAGCGACAGTACATATACTCCCAATCAAGTATAAAATAGACATTTGGACAATATGATTACAACACAATTAAGGTTGAATTAATAAATATTTCACGTCAGTGTACATGATAGTGAAAACATCGTCGTTGCAAGAATCCATGGAACGTTTATTTAAGATTTTATTTATTTATTTGAGAGAGGGAGTGTGCATGTGTGTGTGTGTGAGAGAGTGAGAGAGAGAGAGAGAGAGTAATAGAGGAAACATGGGGAGGGAGAGGCAGATGGGGAGGGAGAGGGAAAGGGAGACAGAACCTCAAGCCCTCTCCCAGCTGAGCACAGAGAACTGAGCACAGAACCCACTTGGGGCTGGATCTCACAATCATGACCTGAGCTGAAACCAAGAGTCATATGCTTAACTGACTGAGCCACCCAGGTGCCCTGAGAATCTGTGGAACATTTGTAAAAATAGATATTCTAGGCCACAAAGAAAACTTGTATTCATTTCCTAATGTAGAAACTGTACCACAATGTGATAAGTGTAGAAAATAATAAAAATTTAAACAGCAATAAAAATAACTGCATAGATGTCACAAGACATTTGACAAAATAATCATTACTTTGGGTCATAGAGGAATTTTTAAATTTAACTAAAGACTGTGTAGAAAATAATGAAAATAAGAGTACAATTTTACTACAAGGTCAGGTTGAAATGCTTTTCTTACTACATTTTCCTTATTAAATTAGGAGGAAAAAAGGAAAAGATTTCCCAAAGAGAACATTAAGGAAATAAAGAAAACCAGATATTGTGACTGGTTGCTGTTCTCTCTCCTGGTAAATCAAGCTCTCACAGAGCAGTGCCATATTATTCTCCATTACAATTCACTCTTGAACAACATGGGTTTGAACTGCATGGGTCCACTTTTTTTTTTTCAACAAATACCATACAGCACTGCAAATGTATTTTCTCTTCCTTTATGTGTTGTTTTTTTGCTTTTTTAAGAGAGAGAGAAAGAGGGAGAGAGTGTGCAGGATCAGGGGGAGGGGCAGAGGGAAAAGAGAGAATCTCAAGCAGGATCCACGCTCAGCAAGAGCCCCATGTGAGGCACATCTCACCACCCTGAGATCATGACCTGAGGTGAAATCAAGAGTCAGATGCTTAACCTGCTGAGCCACCCAGGCGCCCCTCCTTTATGATTTTCTTTCTAGCTTACTTTATTGTAAGAATATCGCATATAATACATATAACACAAAATATGAGTTCATTGACTGTTTATGTTATCCATAAGCCTTCTGGTCAACAGTAGGTCACTAGTAGTTAAGCTCTGGGGGAGTCATAACTGAGGCAGGAATTTTCCACCGCTGGGTGGTGGGTGCCCCAACCCCTCCCTCACCCCCTTCCTTGTTCAAGGGTCAACTGTAGTGAAGAGTGTGTCTGGCTTACTCTTAGTAAGAGTTCGGTACTTAGAAGTACTTTTAACTTTCCCAAAGTTAGGCATTCTCTCCTTGGGGCTTCCACAGTAGGTTGTTCATAGCTCTATTTTAGCATTTATTAAAGCTCTGCACTCACGTAAGTTTTCCATCCCACAGCAGTCCTTTAAAAAAATTTATTTGTTGGGCGCCTGGGTGGCTCAGCCGTTAAGCGTCTGCCTTCAGCTCAGGTCATGATCCCAGCATCGGGGGATCAAGCCCCACATCGGGCTCCCTGCTCCGCGGGAAGCCTGCTTCTCCCTCTCCCACTCTCCCTGCTTGTGTTGCCTCTCTCGCTGTCTCTCCGTTAAAAAATAAATGAAATCTTTAAAAAAAAAAAAACAAAACACAATTATTTGTTTACTACTCAGAATGTGCCAAGGCAACCGACATGATTTATTTTTTCTTCACAACTTTTTTGGATATTCCTATTTTTCTCAAATTGAGGGTCATACAACGAATTCGTCACAAAGTCAGGATCTGGTTGCCCAGCCTCTACTTTTTTTTTTTTTTTGCACATCCTCTACTTTCAAAGACAGGCTCTTTTTGCCCAAACAGGTTACTTTCAATTCAGGAACAAGGTTAGATTGTCAACTTTATATGCTCAGCTCCTAGCCTACCTCCTGGCACAGAACATTTCAAAGTGACTCAGTTGCGTCCTGTTCGTAAACTTTCCTTTGGTGTACTGTACAGACATGCGCTTACTTACAAGCCACCAACCTAGACTCGGCAAGAAATCCAGACTCACAGTCTTTCCTTGACGCCCATCTCTATGGTCGGCACGTGACCACTCTATACTCTGGAGGACTCAGCGAGCGCAGCCGCTCTTTAGGCTACTTTATAGGCACGTGACCGGAAGTGTCCCTTGCTATTGGTTACTGCCAGTAAGGCCCGCCCAACCGCCTCCTGTCAGCTCCTTAAGTAGAAGCCGGAGGAAGCTGCTCAGTCTTTCGGGGACCGTGACGCTGGGAAGGTGAGATGTGTTTGTGCTGGGCTCCGGTGGGTCGGCCCGGGAGCCGCGTGGGTCGCGGGGGGCCTGAAGTGATGACACTCCCAAAAAAGCACGTGTTAGACTGCTGATGCGGGTGATGCGAACTACAATCTGAGCCGGGCCTCCAGGATTGGGGCGGGCAGGGAACGGGCTTGCGGGCGCACACCCGCTAACGCACCGCTCTCATTCTTGCAGGTTCCGGCCGGGCCGAGGACGTCGCATCTCCCTGTCCTCCTCCCCTTGGACCATTCCCTGAAGCCCCTCAATAAAATGGTTTGATCCCAGCGCTGGTGTTGGTGTTCCTTGTCGCGACGCGCTGCCTTTGAGCCTCTGCTGCGCCTGCGCGTGGCGCCGGGGGTCAGGCTGCAGCGCCAGAGTACGCGCTTGCGCATAACTGGGGCCGCCTGGTTACCCCGCCGGCTGCCTTTTTAACCGCGAGCTACACGGCAGCACCCGGGTGCAGGGGGCGGGAGGTTTTCCGCGGGGCGGGGGGCGGGGGTTGCGACGACTCTAGCCTCAGTCCTTGTAGCCGAGGTTGAAGCGCCCTGGAGAGACGTCGGGGATCCCGTAGGCCCTGCTACTCAGCGCCCCGCACGTTTCTGTACCTCTCCTGTAAGTCCTATCCGTGATCTCGAGACCTGCAGGTTAACCGCGGCGTGGATGGCCTCTGGGGGGGGGGCAGCTAAGTGAGCAGTTTAAGGGCCCCTATATACTTAACAGGAACTGGTTTCAGTCTTGATGCTGCATGAATTTAAAAGGTGTAGCAGCGACCCAGTTAGAGAAACTACCATTTAGGGCCAGCTGCTTATTTGTACACTGGCGAGCATGGGGATAAAGGCTTTGGACAAATTAGCCCAGTTAGCCTAAAGAAGGTCGTTGTAAAGATGAATTAAATTTTATGCATTACTGCCATTCCTGATCACATCAGGCACCTAAGTAAATGCACCCTCCTTCCCAGTCCATATGATTGGTGGTGATTAGCCATCTCTCACCCGGGTTGAGGTGAAAGGCGTATCAGTTCTGAGTACAAGGCAGCACTGTTGAAGGGCAAGGATGCACGAGGGCAGTGTTTAAACTGCCTTGGTGTGTAGTAACTGCAGGGCGCTTCTAGTTCACAGGATTAACGAGGCTACTGAGGGTATAAGATCCAGCACAGAAACCAGACTGTCCCTCGGGTGTTTTAAAATCGGCTGAGGTGAGGACCACCTTGCAGTATTAGAAAGCTCATCTGAGGGCGCCTGGGTGGCTCAGTTGGTTAAGCGACTGCCTTCGGCTCAGGTCATGATCCTGGAGTCCCGGGATCGAGTCCCGCATCGGGCTCCCTGCTCAGCAGGGAGTCTGCTCCTCCCTCTGACCCTCTTCCCTCTCGTGCTCTCTCTCATTCTCTCTCTCTCAAATAAATAAATAAAATCTTAAAAAAAAAAAAAAAAAGAAAGCTCATCTGATGATCACCCAGGAAATGTGAGCTGCTTTGGCAGCTGAGTGCCCAAGTGATCTCTGCACACCGTTTACTCTCTCCCTATTATCCAAAAAGGATTCAGTAGAAATAACTTGGATGCTTATCTAGTATTTGACATTAAGATATTTATTTTGTGAAACAACGCAAGCGATTGTAAATCCCCACATACCATTCGATTAAGTGCAATAGGGTAAGTCGTGTAATCTCTTTACACAGTAGTGCATCTAGTCCCTTGCCTTTAGTTATTGCACAAAAATTATAGACCAGTGAACAAAACATGCGGACTGACAGGCAAATCGGCCTACACACTGAGAAATTAGAACAGTACACCAACTGGAATGACCAAATAATTTAAGTCAAATGTTTTAATGGTGCATTTAAAGTAATCAAGGGTTCAAATATATTTTTTCAATATATTAATTTCTTTAAAGTCATGTTCAGGCAAGGTGCTGTTTAAAAAACCACTATTAGCTTTGTCCGCAGATGTAAGTTATCAAAAGTTACCCACGGTAGTTTTGATGTTGAATGCAGCTTTAAACAATAAAAAATTGTTTTAAGAGTACTTCTCAAAGCAAATTATACAACTAGAGAGCCCCCAAACTTGTAAACTAAAGATTCTGACACAAATGCACAAAATAAGGTTGGCAACATTAAAGGTCACATGGATTTTTAGATAATGTAATTAGTGTTTAATGTTGAGCAAACTTGGTCTCGACTCTCAGAGGTGTTAAGAGAGTTCTCCGTTTTGGCTGTCAGAAGAGGAAACTGCCCACAACCTCAGAATATCCAAAACCAGTTAGATGAACAAAGCATTTAAGATGCCTATATGAAGCACAGAGCACATAGAAAGTGCCGGATAGAAAGCTGTGGCTCTGGCTTTCTCCACACCCCAATCCACTCATTATGTGCAGTATTTGACACTTTCACACATGCTCATGCCTCAGGAAAACATTTGGGATCAGTTAGAAATCAGGTGATTGTATCTCACTGACAGAAGGCTTGGGATGGTTTGATCTCATGGCTTTGCCTAATGTTCACATAAATCCCACTGTCCCCACCCCAGCTGATCGTATGTGCGTGCGTGCGTGCGTGCGTGTGTGTGTTCTATGGCTACTTGCTTCCAGAATGCACGATATGAAAAAAAGTTGCTATGCGTATCTCTTTATCAATGAAATGGTTCACAAAATTCCACTCCCTACCCTCCACGTGTTCCTGAACTGATATTCTCTGGCAGTGTAGAGGGCTGCATCCCCCACAAAGTGTAGAAGTGAGAAAACATCCCATTGTGCACTGGCTGCCTGAGGAAAAGCTTTGGAGGAGTCGAGGCAAGGGGAAAGACTTCCAGTTGTACAGCTTTGCTCTTACTGTGTTCTTTTGCTGCCACAAAAACTGGTAGACTCAAAAAAGCCATGGTGTGAGTCATCTGTAGCCTCTGGATCCGCTGTGGTGATTCTTCCACAGTCTCCTTTGCTGAGTCAAAGCTTTGCAGCCGGCAACCCAGACACCAGTTCCTGGATGCGTGGAATGACACCTCGCGGTGGAATGGGCGCCAGGAGGCGGAGGGCAGAAGCTGTGGCACGAGGAGATGCCAGTGCTACAGCACAGAAGGCAGCCGAGAACCCCATACCTTGAGCTAGGTCTCATAATACTGGGAAGGTCAGATCTTCACCCATCACAGCTGATCAGCAGCCTCCACAAGTGGGTCTTTGTGGAGGCAGGAAGCGGAGCGAGGGTCCATGGCTGAGTGCATTATGGGGATATAGACATCATCCATGTTTGGCATGACAAAAACTTTCTGTAGAAAGAAATAGCCATGTGGAAGAATGTTCTTTTCTCAGGCTGTCCCCCTACTCTGTTCTGATCATTTTAGGCTTTGGAGAAGTTTTAAAAGTACATGGGAAACAACTTCTTGTGCACATTCTAAACTAGTTCCTCTGAGAATCACATCAGCACATGAACAGAAGAACCCGGTTAAGTCAGCTCTGGGGTAGAAGCAGCCTTTGATTTCATGTACATACGATAAAACTACTCATGAATTCATAAATACTCAATACCATTTCTTAAAGAGAACTGGCTTCACGGGCTCATAGTATTTCCAAATTGCTATGTCCAGAACACAAATTCCAAGTGAATTTATCCAGTTAAATAAATCTTAGCAACAAAATGTAAGCTAATTTTTTTCACCCAGAACCAGACAAAGCTATGTATGAAAGAAATCTTACTATAATGAATGCACAAAGAATAATCAGTGATTGATAGTAATGGTGCTTTGCCTATCCTGTTTATAAACTAATTTTACGCACGTGAGTTTTGGCAATGCATTCAGTCTCCAGTAATGCCCTCTTACAAAAGCATACACAAAAGCAAAAAAAGGTGGCTATGGGAGGTTGTAGCAATTACCCATCAACTTCCCAACTTGCCTCAAAAATACCAGGTGCCAGGGTGCGTGGGTGGCTCAGTCAACTGAGTGTCCAACTCTTGATTTCGACTCCAGTCATGATCTCAGGACTGTGAGACCGAGCCGAGTTGGACTTTGCGACGGGCTTCACACTCTGGAGGGAGTCTGCTTGAGATTCTCTCCCTCTCCCTCTGCCCCTCCCCACACTCTCTAAATACATCCTAAAAAACAAAACAAAACCAGGTGCCAACCTCTGCCCCCTCGTCCTTTGTGTTCCTTGTACCCCAAAATCCCTGAAGGAGATGACCCACTCTAATGCCTATTGTAGGATCTAGGGAAAAGTAAAAAACTAAAGGTTGTCTTTCTCCTCGCTAGGTTCAAAGTACTTTTTCACTTGGTGCTATTACTAAGCTTTCCAGCAATTGGTTTTCAGTTAATGTTAATCCATAGCTTTTATTTTATTTATTTATTTATTTTAAGATTTTCTTTATTTACTTATTTATTTGAGAGAGAGAATGAGAGACAGAGAGAGAGCGCATGAGAGGGGGGAGGGTCAGAGGGAGAAGCAGACTCCCCGCCGAGCAGGGAGCCCGATGCAGGACTCGATCCCGGGACTCCAGGATCATGACCTGAGCCAAAGGCAGTCGCTTAACCAACTGAGCCACCCAGGCGCCAATCCATAGTTTTTAAATACAAATATAAAATTTTAAAGACAAGAGCTCAAAATATACCACTGCAAAAATAGGGGGTCTCCTTCAAAAGGTGAAACTCATTTACAAAGTAAACTGTTTGCCAACCCATAACACCTAGAAAGACATCTGTGCCTCGAATATCTGCTGGTTCATCCCAGGGCCTCTGCTACACTGCTATTAGCTTTGGTGGCAGAAAGCAGAAGGACAGGCTTGGAGAATGAGCTCTGGCCTAGTGAACCCACCTTTGGGGCTTCCTCTGAACTACTTACTTTACAGGGTTCTGTGGATGACGTTCAGGGTTTCTGAAACTGTACCTAAAGCGTTAGGCCCGCTTGATCATGATGGGTACACTCCTGGGATGAGGGCCCATTGCTTTCATTAGATTCTCAAAAGAGCATCCTGACCCAGATGCACTTCAGAACCTCCGTTCTGCCCTGAGCTCTGAGACTCAGGTGAAACGCACACCAGGTGACACCACACGTTTACCTGAAACTCTTGTTCCAGTTTCTTCTCTATCCAGTCTGTCACATGAACTAAAGTCACTTCTCTCTCTCCAAGTTTTGGCCGAGCTTTCAGCTCTACATATGGTGGCTTCCGGAAACCATACCTTTTTGAAGAAGACAAGTAGTAAACAACTACATTTAGATGCAAAGAGAGGAAGCAGACAAGTACCAACAGCAAACACTGTTCATCTACTAAGGGCTTCATCCCTATGTAAATGTTCTCTTACTCTGAAAA